AACAAGCTAAATTACTTCGTGGACAATCTGGAAGCTAAGAAGGGGAAAAAATCTAAACCGTCTTTTGTTTGTAATGTATGCGGTCCAGGGTATGGACTGCACATCTGCCACGAGTCTATGGGTTGAATGATTATATGTCACCCACTGATGAAAGATACGACGACTATTTAGATAACAGTTACACAGAGTCACATTGTTCCACATACACCGATAAGAGCTTGAACAAACAAACATTAAAAGTGATCTCTATAATCGTGCATCGTTCTCTTTATTTATATATACACATTAGGACGATAAGGATGAATTGGTGATTACAAAACTAATGTCTGTCTAATGCTCCCCGAAACCCGTTGGTATACTTCCAAGGCGGTATCACCTGAAAGGACTACATCTAGCCTCGACTTGACGTGAGTCCACAACATCAACACTTTCGGCCTACGGGCCCCTTCTGGCGTCACCAGTAGCCTTCAATAAACGCCTCAGTTATGTGCCGAAAATTTAGGTAACTAATAACATATATATAATAACTCTCTCACAGATTGATGGGCACTGAATGGACACGGGCTAGTTACGGTTGGACTTGAAATACCGTTGTCTCCCACTAATCTCGAGAAACACTCGTCTCACATTTTAAAGCCGTGTGGACCGTTTGCACTCGCCTCTGCCAATATTATCATCATCTAGCTTCTTTACGACTGGCGTAGGCGATCATACCATCTGATCCAGTTGAACAGTAAAGTGAGTTTAGCACACAACAGTTTGGTAAATCCAGTATCACATAATTCTATTTTTCTCACATGACGACCACTGGCAGTTAAATCGGGGGAAAAAAAGATAAAAAATTGTATTGAGGAAAAATATTGGAGCTTTTTAATTGAAATGTTATAGAAAAATTCTTAGGAAACCATAGATCAGGAAGAGGAAAAACGACATTCTGAACGAGTTGAACATCAAGAAGAACTGGGTCATGAACAACATCCTGTCCCGAACGTTAAAGTAATTTTGGCCACATCAAGCGTCATATTGCTTAAAAAAGACGGTGATGGAAGGTGCAGTTTGTTGAAGGCGATGTAGAGGTCGACCACCGCGAAGAATGGTACAGGACATTGAGGAATTTTTGGCACTGAAAGCACAAGGGGCCGAAGAGGTGGCTAGGAAAAGGGATACTTTCGTGCGTGCTGTGAAGAGAGTGACGTTCTGTAAAAGACTTGCTGATTGATGATATATTATTTCTCGAGTCTGCTGCCTGTTCATGATTCACTAGCGTACATCAGAACTGACTCAGTGTCACCATCATAGTTCCACAACACTGAGTGTCGTTAGGTCAACAGTTACTGTTGCTGTAGAGTTCCTTCTGCCAACCACATGCGAAGGAGGCCAGGTCTGCATGTTTGAAGCGCGCCCAGTTGGGCAAGTTCTCAATCCAGGCGTATTGTGTCTGACGTATTTCCTCCACCCTTACATATTGTAAAGCAAAAAAAAAAAAGCACTCAGGGATTTGAAAACTCACTCAGATGAAAATCGCTAACATTGAACTATTGTGAATTTGTCATTGTGACTTTGTTATTATACTATGATAGGTTTGCGACTAATCTTCCCCCCCCCCTCCCCGCCAACCAATTTCTTCTTCTTCTCCTCCTGTATCTGATACGTGTGTGTCCCTAATCCTTCCCCGATTAAGGTTTTCAGTTCTGTATCCAGGTCTTTTGTGGTCTGCCGCTTCTCCTCTTTCCCTCTACAGGACCCTGCAGTATTGCCTGAAGAGGCTGGCAGGTCTTGTTACATGCCCAACTCTCTTTCTTGCCCCAGTTGATATCACAAGTGCACTTACAGAATCTTCATTTCACAAACTTGTGATTTACTAAGTAAATAATAGCTAAGATAACACCGTTCTCTAGTCTACATGTGCATGTCTGATCTGTTATCATCACGCTTACCTCTCTGTCCTTCAACTAACTCGGTTGATCCTAGAAACATATAGCTGACGTTAGGAAACATTTATTTGGTAAGACTCTGTAGAAGTATAAGAATTCTGGTAAGACTTTGTTGAAATATAATTGTTCTTTTTAAAACTATGTTGAAATGTAGTAATTATTGTAAGACTTTGTTGACATGTAATAATTCTGGTTAGGCTTTAATGGAAAATAATCATTCTGGTAAGACTTTGTTGAAATAGCATAACTCTGGTAAGACTTTGTTGAAATAGCATAATTCTGGTAAGACTTTGTTGAAAGGAGAAAATTTATAGTAAGACTTTGTTGAAATATAATAATTCTAGCCGTTAACAAATATATATTTAGTGAAAGCAATTTTTCCTCATTGTAAAGAAACACACAATAATTACAGAAACTAATAACAGTTAGCTGCACATTTTCTTAAAGGAAGATGAAGGGGAAGAAAGAACAAATCCCAGTTTATTTGTTCTGCTTTGTAATTTAACTACACAATTTTTAATTAAGAAATTTGCCATTGCCCTCAACGGTCAGCCTTTCATAACATTGACGACATATAACGCATATCAGTCTGATGCCAAAGTGTTTGCAGATGGAAATCGAAGAGGAATTTTAAAATTAAGAATCGCGTTAGTAATGCCACAGAGGCAAACATAAAACACTAGATTGCTCGATTTGTTTGCTAGCATATTCTTGTTGAATCTCGACTTACTACATACCGTAAATTGCGACATTTGTCAGATATTCAAGCCTGAAAAAATATTTCTACAACTTTTAGTCTTAGATATGTCTTAGATTGATATAGAACTGACACGGAATTATTAAGATATAAAAATCTAGAGGTCAGTTTTCAAACAAGGTCGACTTGTATGTCCCAATTTACGGTATCTGCAAACCTTAGTAATAGACTATTGGGTGACCGAGGAGTTGAGCTTGGGTAAACACGTGTATGCCATCATCGAGGTAAAGATAGGAGATACTCTAACCAACTTCTCATGGGAATAGTTAGTAGTGGTACCTTTGAGTGGCTGCTGCTGTATCTGGGGACTGAGCACGCCTGCTAATGTCTAATTTACACAGACATCTCTTGTAATAACATAACACAATGTAACAATTGTTAACATAGGATAAGGCCACGATGAATGACTTTTGTCCTGTTTTGTGCAGCGAAAATACGTTTACCTTTGTAAAACAGACAGTTACTTGTGAGAATGTTTTATTTTGTTTTTTCAGTTGAAAGGATTTGTTTATATGCTTCACTTTATTGCATTTTCCCATCTATTCCTTTAAGCCACATATGTTTTCAATTTTTATATTGCCTGATGAACCTCTTTATCTCAGTGTTTCTCGTTGCTTCCACCGACGCACCAACAAGCGGTGCACACGAGAAATCTGGAAGCCGTGAAATCTCAAGCTAAAAGGGCTCTAGCTCTAACTCTCCTTTAATACGACAGGCCTAGTAAACAGGCATTGGATTAAATTACGCTCAAAGAAACAATAGGATATAAAATCTGGCAAATAAAATCACTTGACAGAATGTCCACAATACATAACAAATATGTAACATTTGACACCAAAAGCGTACTATCCTAAAGTTACTAGAAGAGAGGTGAAATATCTGGAAACAAGTATGGGCGGAATCAGTTCTTAGACACATCAAGTGTTGTCAAGTGACAACAGATCAAATGGTTCGTACATGTATCAAGACTACCAGAAGATATTGCACCACAGAGAACCCTTTCACCTATACACAATGAAAGCAGAACTAGAGGTTGACCACAAGGGATAGTTGGAATCTATGAGGTCAGCGTCTACGTGAACATTCCATTCCAAAGGGTCATAGCTGATATCTTTTCACAACGGAACTCTGCAAAGCAGGACAGGGCTAGAGAAGGAGAAGAGGAACTGTCACTGGCAATTTGTAGATTGTTCTGTGGATTTCCTGGGGAGGACAGAAGGTATGTGGATAGTTCTTCTGATTGCCAGGGAAGGATAAAGTGTTAGTAGATTGCTCGGCTGATTGCCTGGCAAGAACAACAAGTTTGTGGATTGTTCTGTCAATTGCCTGGCAAAGTAAAAAGGTTTGCAGATTGTTCAGCTGATTGTCTACCAAGGTAAAAAAAGGTTTGCAGAGTGTTTTGCTAACTGTCTGGCAAAGACAACAGGTTTACATATTCTTCTGCTGATTTCTTGGAAAGGTGAAAAGATTAGCAGATTGTTCTGCTGATTTCCTAGCAAAGTGAAAATGTTAGCAGTTACTTCTGCTGATTGCCTGGCAAGGTCAAGAGGTTTGCAGATTGTTCTGCTGATTTCATAGCAAGGTCAAAAGGTTAGCAGATTGTTGTACTGATTGCCGGACAAGGTCATAAAGTTAGCAGATTGTTCTGCAGATTGCCTAGCAAGGTCAAAAGGTTAGCAGATTGTTCTGCTGATTGCCTAGCAAGGTCAAAAGGTTAGCAGATTGTTGTGCTGATTGCCTAGCAAGGTCAAAAGGTTAGCAGATTGTTCTGCTGATTACCTGGCAGGGTGAACTGGTTTGCAGATTGTCCCAACTGGGACACGCGGTGTTAAAAAGAACAAGGCACCTTACTTGGCAATGCCTTGACCTGGTAAAAGATGGCATACGTGCAGTTAACAGCTATAAACGTCGATGACACTTTCAACTGCCAAAGAAAGATACATCATTTTACTTTTAATTATTACTATTTATTATTTATTGCTTTACGACTTGAACATAGAAAACAGCATGCCTAGGCCACTCATTTTTAAAACTATGACATGCGAAGGCTACCACTTACTAGTAGTGTACTACAATGTTAGCTGTGCACGCCTGCTCTCAATAGCAAAGTGGTAAGAAAAATATCACGTGATATCCTCTCCAGTATAATCGTGACCTGATAATGCTGAGACATGCGAATTTATCATGTCTCACAATAGCTAGAACATATTAACCTCTGCTGTTACATCTTTGTATTTTATACCATTGTTTACGGTAGTCTCTTGATCACTATCATCAGGTGGCCAGCAGTTATAGCCAAACAGTCGAACATGCTGTATTTCATTCTGTATGGACTGTTCGTGTCTTGTCAAGGTAATTATATGTGTCCGTGATGATAGTTACAGATGTTACATCACCAGTCTCATCATCATAATCATTATCATCAGTGTCATCATCATCATCATTACGACCACCCTCATCATCGTCAGTATCATCATCATTATCACCACCACCATCATCAGTATCATTATCATTATCACCACCATCATCATCAGTATTATCACCGTTATTATCATAATCATCATCAGCATCATCAGTCTTATCATCACTTGCACAAGTAAGAATAGAAGACTGCGGTCTTATAGGTTGAACTGGGTTTATGGAATTTTATCAGGTTCAATTTTCATTTTTGAGAAAGTAACCCTACGGTCAGCAACACAAGAGAGGTTCAATTACATACCTACATAACGGTGATAACTTTCAATTACCATCTCTTCACTACTGACTCATGGGTCTAAAGACAAAATCTTTGAGTTTAAAAAAAAAAAAAAAATACTGCTAATCATTAAGCAGTGGATTGGGTCATTACAGAAGTCCGCTTCGTGTAAAGTGGTCTTGAACTTCGTTTCGGGGATCGCAGGTGTCGATGAAACGAAAAAGCTGAAAAGTTGGCTAGATCCGCCAGCTTCTGAAGGACAACCCACGGATCATGCTGATATTACTAATGCCTTCAGAGAAGTGGAAAGGGTGGAGGACTTTCAAGACAGCGATTCCGCATCGCTACACTAACTAACTAACTAACTAACTAACTAACTAACTAACTAACTAACTAACTAACTAACTAACTAACTAACTAACTAACTAACTAACTAACTAACTAACTAACTAACTAACTAACTAACTAACTAACTAACTAACTAACTAACTAACTAACTAACTGAATGATAAACTAACTAACTGAATAATAACTAACCAACTAACTAACTAACTAATAAACTAACTAACTAATAAACTAACTAACTAACTAACTAACAAACCAACTAACTAACTAACTAAATAACTAACTAACTAACTAACTAACTAACTAACTAACTAACTAACTAAATAACTAACTAACTAACTAACTAACTAACTAACTAACTAACTAACAAACTAACTAACTAACTAACTAACTAACTAACTAACTAACTAACTAACTAACCAACCAACCAACCAACCAACCAACCAACCAACCAACCAACCAACCAACTATCTAACTAACTAACTAACTAACTAACTAACTAACTAACTAACTAACTAACTAACTAACTAACTAACTAACTAACTAACTAACTAACTAACTAACTAACTAACTAACTAGCTAACTAACTAACTAACTAACTAACTAACTAACTAACTAACTAACTAACTAGCTAGCTAACTAACTAGCTAACTAACTAACTAACTAACTAACTAACTAACTAACTAACTAACTAACTAACTAACTAACTAACTAACTAACTAATAAATTAACTAACTAACTAACTAACTAACTAACTAACTAACTAACTAACTAACTAACTAACTAACTAACTAACTAACTAACTAACTAACTAACTAACTAACTAGCTAACTAACTAACTAACTAACTAACTAACTAACTAACTAACTAACTAACTAACTAACTAACTAAGAAACTAACTAACTAGCTGAATAATAAACTAACTAACTCACTGAATAATAAACTAACTAACTAACTAATAAACTAACTCACTAATAAAATAACTAACTAATTAACTAACTAACTAACTAATTAACTAACTAACTCACTCACTAACTAACTGCCAATCATTATTCAATTGCCCTTATCTGTTTTTTGTTGTTGTTGTTGTTCTAGAGACAAAGTTTTAAAAACCAACAGCGGTATTTCTTTAGCCGGGTGACAGTTTTCCATTTCAACGAACTAACTAACTAACTAACTAACTAACTAACTAACTAACTAACTAACTAACTAACTAACTAACTAACTAACTAACTAACTAACTAACTAACTAACTAACTAACTAACTAACTAACTAACTAACTAACTAACTAACTAACTAACTAACTAACTAACTAACTAACTAACTAACTAACTAACTAACTAACTAACTAACTAACTAACTAACTAACTAACTAACTAACTAACTAACTAACTAATAAACTAAATAACTAACTAACTAATAAACTAACTAATAAACTAACTAACTAACTAACTAACTAACTAGCTAGCTAGCTAACTAACTAACTAACTAACTAACTAACTAACTAACTAACTAACTAACTAACTAACTAACTAACTAACAAATAACTAAGAAACTAACTAACTAGATGAATAATAAACTAACTAACTAACTAATAAACTAACTCACTAATAAAATAACTAACTAACTAACTAGCTAACTAACTAACTAACTAACTAACTAACTAACTAACTAACTAACTAACTAACTAACTAACTAATTAACTAACTAACTCACTCACTAACTAACTGCTAATCATTATTTAATTGCCCTTATCTGTTTTTTGTTGTTGTTGTTCTAGAGACAAAGTTTTAAAAACCAACCGCGGTATTTCTTTAGCCGGGTGACAGTTTTCCATTTCAACTAACTAACTAACTAACTAACTAACTAACTAACTAACTAACTAACTAACTAACTAACTAACTAACTAACTAACTAACTAACTAACTAACTAACTAACTAACTAACTAACTAACTAACTAACTAACTAACTAACTAACTAACTAACTAACTAACTAACTAACTAACTAACTAACTATCTAACTAACTAACTAACTAACTAACTAACTAACTAACTAACTAACTAACTAACTAACTAACTAACTAACTAACTAACTAACTAACTAACTAACTAACTAACTAACTAACTAACTAACTAACTAACTAACTAACTAACTAACTAAACTAACTAACTAACTAACTAACTAACTAACTAACTAACTAACTAACTAACTAACTAACTAACTAACTAACTAACTAACTAACTAACTAACTAACTAACTAACTAACTAACTAACTAACTAATTAACTAACTAACTAACTAACTAACTAACTAACTAACTAACTAACTAACTAACTAACTAACTCACTAACTAGCTAACTAACTAACTAACTAACTAACTAACTAACTAACTAACTAACTAACTAACTAACTAACTAACTTATTAACTAACTAACTAACTAACTAACTCACTAACTCACTAACTCACTAACTCACTAACTATCTAACTAACTAACTAACTAACTAACTAACTAACTAACTAACTAACTAACTAACTAACTAACTAACTAACTAACTAACTAACTAACTAACTAACTAACTAACTAACTAACTAACTAACTAACTAACTAACTAACTAACTAACTAACCAACTAACTAACTAACTAATTAACTAATTAATTAACTAACTCCTAATCATTATTTTTTTGCCCCTTTCTGTTATTTTGTTCTAGAGACATATTTGAGTTGAGTTGAGTTGAGTCAAGAATTGACATCACAGCACTCGGGGCATTCTCATGCATGCTCCATCCTTATCTTCAGCAGCCAGCGCAGAGTTGCAGTACTGATGGTACAAGTCACAATCTGGTTAAAAGTTCGTCTTGCCTTTCCTCTGAGTGTAGTGAGCCGGCCAGACCCTGTGGTTACACCGAGGCGCCTCATTCTCTCTAGGCCATAATAATCTTCTTTATCTACTGATTTCGTTGCCTGTTTCCAAAAAGCCTTGACATATTTTCAAATACCAGCCGCGGTATTTCTTTAGCCCGGTGACAGTTTTCCATTTCAGTAACAGTGGATTTTAGTTGATCATCTATGATGGTTATGTAGATATTGAAGGTAATATTGGTTGGCAATTCGAAAGAAACCACCTCAAAAACGGAATGCTGTACGTGGGCAATCAATTAATTTGGCAGGGTTAGATTAAATGATATCGCCGGTCTTATGTAGCTACAGAATGGATTTTCTATGCCCCTGGTGTCTACCAATGTCTTCTAATAACAGTATTAAGCACTTGATGATTAAATAAAAAAAAATTTTGAAAGCTAAATTTGAACATTACTTTCAGGTTTACAGATGTACATGGAAAGAATTCCTGGTCATGCAGTCTGCGGGGAACTCCGATGTTGGAACGACGCCCAACCTGATGGCAACATCTTCAGCACCACGTCCATCTCTCTCTACGATGTCACGGAACCGGGATCCTCTATCAAAGTAGCTTCCATTTCCGCTAATGCGCCTGGTCTGTACATCAACCAATCAAAAGCTCAGGATCTCAGCGGAAGCGGAAATATCTCCAGATACTCTGCGGATCTGTCTCTAAGCTTCCGAAACAATGCTGACTGCGTGTCTGGGAGTTTCTTGTGTGAACTAGAGTTTGTAAACACAGATGGTGCAATAGATACTATTAGTCAGAAAGCAGCTTCGGAAAGCAACACTGCAGCACAGGCTAACAGCACTATATCTCCGGCTAGCAGCACTGGAGCTACAACTAGCAGTGCATGTTCATGTTGTAAATATGACTTTCTTTGTTTCTCTTAACGATTTTACTATCTTAAATGATTTTACTACTTTATAAAAGAAGAGTCGCATGATACAGGAAACGATTAGCTAGCTAAACATATATAAAATGGATAGATCGATTTAAAAAATAGCTAAATTTTCGAAAACATTGTGAATTTGACAATAAAGCTTTCTGAAATTGTCCTAATTTCCGGTGTGGGCTCTGCGGCTCCAGTGGGGGAAAACAAAAATAGACCCACTGCCTCACCAACAAGCATGTCGTAGGAGTCTACTAGTTGAGCACTTCCTTTAAAGTCAGACAGCATCGGCCCAAACGGCAAGGAACGATCAACTGCACGCAAATATGTCAGTAAAATGGATGTACACCCAAAAATTAGGCCCTGACACAAAGTCAAAGTCCAAATGAACGAACAACCAGGGCTTTCCGCCCGAGCTTACAGTCAGGGAACGAAGAAGAAGACAGTTCCCATCTTACCTCAGTCTGTTCATAATACGTCTTCCATATGTTTGTTTGTTTACACAACGGGTCAACATCATGGCACAAGGGTTGTAACCCATAAGTGCTCCGTTCTACTTGTAATTCAAGCCTGAGTCTGAGGGATCTCAGCGCAGTGCACAAACTTCGTAGCACCGGCGAGAATCCTAAAATACTTTGGGTAAATTTGTAACTCCAAATGTTACCCGGGCAGAGCCGTTATGCTAATTTTTTCGAGCATTGTTTATGTACACACGGGCGTCCGATCTTACTACACAGAGAACAGAGAAAATTACTAGAAGTCCACGTGAAAAAACCTTCACCAGGACTTGAATCCAGCACCTCTAGCTCTCGAGGCGGACGCCCGGTATGGAGACCACTCGCCCCCCCCCCCCCCCCCTTCCCTATAAGTTTTCCATATGTACAGTTAGACGAATCTGCAGACAGACAGACAGGATGGCTCACAAATATACATAAATACAGCAGTCAGACCGAAAAAAAATGAGGAACAACTGGTTCAACATATCAGTGTTAAGATACAAATAAAATACTTATTACAAATGTAAATTAATAAATAAGCGAATGAATGAATACCGTGTGTGGGTTCCGGGGCTCCATTGTGGGGGAAAAAAGAATAGACCACCTTCCTCCCCAATACGCATGTCGTAAGAGTCGACTAAGTCGGGTCATACTCCAAAGTCAAAGTACATCTACCTGAGAGGTGACGAACAAACAGTCTGCAAAAAATTAAGTCACATCTGTGAAACCGATGTACACGCAACACTTAGGTTCTGGAACAAGACTAAAGTGGACGAACAAACTACATTTTCCACCGGAATATACAGGCGGTAAATGCGAAGAAGAAGAAGAAAAAGAAGAAGAAGAAAAAGAAGAAGAAGAAGAAGAAGAAGAAGAAGAAGAAGAAGAAGAAGAAGAAGAAGAAGAAGAAGAAGAGAAGAAGAAGAAGAAGAAGAAGAAGAAGAAGAAGAAGAAGAAGAAGAAGAAGAAAAAGAAGAAGAAGAAGAAGAAGAAGAAGAAGAAGAAGAAAAAGAAAAAGAAGAAGAAAGAAAAAGAAGAATAAATGAATGAATGAATGAATAAATATGTGAATGAAATAATGATTATGTAAAAGAATAATTAAATGAATATGTGAATGAATGAATAAATAAATGAATGAATATGTAAATGAGTTTATGATTGTGTGAATGAATGAATATTGAATGAACATGTGAATGAATAAATGAGTATGTAATTGAATGACTGAAAAAACGTGAATGAATGAATTAGTTAATAAATGCAAATTTGAATAAAGAAATTATTGAATGTATGAATGAATGAATAAGTTGGTGATTGGGTAACCCCCCTCCCCCCCCCCCCAAAAAAAAAAAAAATACATGAGACTGTGTTACACATATTTCCTTAGCCGCTCTGACATCACAAATATCTGAGCTAAGCGGACGTCTAGACCAGGTGGAGAGGGACACAGCCGAACTGAGGTTGAACAAGAGTCTCCTGGAAGCGGAGTTGGCTTCATTGCGACAGCAGAACACACAGATCCAGAGCAACTTCAACCACCTGTCCCAACAAGTATCTGAGATCCAGGGTTACCTCAACGCCTCAAGCGTGACGACCGGCGCCCCCAGCGTGGCGACCCAGGCTACAAGCGTGGCCACCCAGGCTACAAGCGCTGTGACCTCAGCGCCGAGCACGCAGGTACTACAGCTGATTGTTTTCTTAGTAGCTATTTTTTGAATATTCATTGTTTACCCCCAACTCCCTCCAACTCCAAGTCACCAACCCCACAACTCTAATCCCCCCCCCCCCTCCCCCTCAAAGGGCCTTGTCGAAGACAAAGTTGTTAATCATATAGCACATCGTGCTTGATGTCTCTTGCTCCATTCCGTTCTATGCGTGCAAATCCTTTCGACATCGTGGATGGGTTTCACTCCAGAAACTCCTAGCTCCTCTCATCGTTACCTCGATCTATTTCTGTCCCACTCTAGTGCCTGCTTAATGATTACCTGCTTGTTTGTTCTCAGGATGTGTACCCTATAGCGTCAACATTTTTTTGTCTTAATACTGTTGTTACCAATGGTCTTCAATACATTTCTATGATTTCGTCGCCCTGCCTAAATTTATCCGATTTATTCTCAACATTTCCTTCGAGCATAAGTTTTTGAAAGCATTTAACTTTCGTACCTTGAAGGTATTGGTTCGTAAACTTACAATATAATCTCAAGTGGCTACATTTGATCAAAGTGATCTATACCTTAAAACCAATCAAGACAAGATATTCATTACTTGAAGGCGTCCCCTTGTGAGATGTAATTTGTTTTTTTGAGGCCCCACCCTGGCTTTTGCCGGGGGCCTTATATATGGCCGGGCCTTAAATGTGGCCTAACGGCTGAACGGGGTTTCGCCGACCTCTTCACGGGTGATCCTCATCCGCATGGTAGCACTTTGTGTCACCGGGTGTTTGTCGCCCTTGTGATGTCTTGGTGGGGTACAACTTACCTAACTACCTATCATTACCCTATTCATTCATTCATTATCGTTTTGTGTCATGTGTCACATAGGGCTCGCTGTCTATTCCACCATTCTGTTCTATACTGTGGGATCAGTTGAATATAATGGATATAATCAAGTCAAGCAGCTTTGGTCTCTGTCATCGGCTTTCGTCGTCAAGTTTCTTCTGGGCATCCTTGCCTCCGTTATCCCCTTCTATACCAATGTTAATGCATGTTTAGTGATTCTCTGCTAGTTTCTTCTCAAGACATGCCAAATGTAGAGCCATCTTACCGGTCTTATAACTTATAATATTATCAGTTTTCTAGATATTTCACTTATTTCTTGATTCCTTTTAAATTCAACTCATTTTATTTTCATTATTTTCTCCCACATGTGTTTGCGAATGCATTTAACTATATTTAACTCTTTTTATTATTACAAACTAAAAATGTATAGTCGCGATTAGTTTTGAATATATGGTTAGGCAACATAAACCAGTAAGTTTCTGTCATGAAAAGGTTTGTTGATGTCAAATTTAATCTCCCTATCCATCTTTTTGACGTTTAGCGGCTGTAAACTCTGGCAGAAAGCTCTGGTTGTGTGGTCGCTTCCAGACTTTGGTCTTGTTTCGGAACTTAGGTTTTGTGTGCGCCTCAGTTTTTAGAGATCTGGTACACTCTTATCAGACAGCGGGGTCCTCACCTTCGAGGCAAATGTGCTTTAGCTTCAGAGGAAATTTCCCTAATTATCTGTCCTTAAGATAAGTTTGTTAACGGGCGGTGAATCTCATCTTTTTATTCCCAAAATGGGTCCCGAACCCACAGGGGGTCATTTATACCTGGCAGTGCACGTGTGTCAGGCATCATACCACAAGTCTCTTTGCTCATGCTAGAAATAGGTTCCTAATCCGGGACCTGGGCAACCTAGGTCGCATCGAGGCTAACTTCGATGTCAGAAAGTATTCGCTCGAGAGTCAGTCAATCAGCATTCGACATACAAATAAGTCAAATCTGTAAAATAAATGTCCTCACTAGAAAAAAATTAATAAAAATTAAGTTCTCGAATATGATCAATGTCACATAATGGAAGAACAAACAGCCAGGTCTTTCCACCAGAATTCACAGCCAGTAAACGGAGGAAAAAGAGGAGGAGGAGGAAGAGTCAGACGGTGGGGGAAGAAAAGGAAGAAATAGAAGAAGAAGAAGAAGAAGAAGAAGAAGAAGAAGAAGAAGAAGAAGAAGAAGAAGAAGAAGAAGAAGAAGAAGAAGAAGAAGAAGAAGAAGAAGAAGAAGAAGAAGAAGAAGAAAAGAAGAAGAAGAAGAAGAAGATGAAAAAGAAGAAGATGAAGAAGAAGAAGAAGAAGAAGAAGAAGAAGATGAAGAAGAAGAAGAAGAAGAAGATGAAGAAGAAGAAGAAAGAAAAGAAGAAGAAGAAAAAGAAGAAGAGAAGAAGAAGAAGAAGAAGAAGAAGAAGAAGAAGAAGAAGAAGAAGAAGAAGAAGAAGAAGAAGAAGAAGAAGAAGAAGAAGAAGAAGAAGAAAAAGAAGAAAAAGAAGAAAAAAAAAAGAAGAAGAAGAAAAAGAAGAAGAAGAAAATAAAGGGAAATAGGCACGTTAATTGTCGGCAAATGTAAGCCACATTATCAAAGAGGTTAGCTCGCCTGTTGGAGATAGTGCGTTGTGCATTTATCAAAATCTCACTGAAGCACAACACTACGACAAAAGACACTACAGTCTGGATCTCATATCGTCTCTAACATGAGCAGAAGAAATAGCCTGGGAAATAAAGGCAGCTATAGCGATGTAGATCATTTGACAGTATCTACATAAGATTTTAGATCATCATCATAATCGTAGTCGTCCTTACAAGTGCCTTGCCGAAGTGAGGGCGACCATGCTTCCTCAACATCTGCTATCTTCAACAGGATGTATCTGTTTATGTGCTGACTTCCGCTCAATGATTTTGTTTTTGACTTGATGTTCTTAATATGCATATTATTACATGAATATAACATGCTTTATTTATGAAATACTAATGCTGTGTGAAAAATGGGAGTTTGGAAGGGCTGAATGTAACAGAGGCCTGCGTGCCTAATTTGTAACCATTTGAAAATAAAGTTCGTTCTTTCGTTCATTCGTTCCTGACACCACAAAAGGCGTTCAAAAAGCTTCTCACGTTGTTGCTCGGTCTTTCTTTCTGCAATGTTTACTATTTAGTTGATAACATACCTGTGAATGATATGATGTATCAAAGGATGGAGAATAGAATGTTGGACGAGACTGAGTGCCCATTTCACGATCCTTTCAAAATAAAATTAATTTCCCCGTTCGTTCCACAAATCTTTCCAGTGGTCACAAAATGTTCCAGTCTCCTTGCTTTCCTAAATCCCCCCCCCCCCCTTTTGCGGATTTCGGATCGCCTTTTAACTAAAAAAAAAAAATAATAAACTGACTAACCCTTTAAGAAGTATAAATAGGGACATAACAAAAACACACAGGTAATGGAACTAAAGTTACAAAAGATATGTAGGGTATGATGTGAGCTGCATACGATTTCAGGCTATATGATAACTTGTGAGTTGGCTGAGGGTTAATGCTCCACTGATCAAGAAGAAGAAGAAGAAGAAGAAGAAGAAGAAGAAGAAGAAGAAGAAGAAGAAGAAGAAGAAGAAGAAGAAGAAGAAGAAGAAGTAAAAGGAGAAGAAGGAGAAGGAAAGGAAACAGAAAATGCTGTCATCTGTTATCATTGTTAATGTCACATTTTAAATGCTTGACTGTTTATTTCCAGAAACCCGTTCAAACAATTTCAGCATGCACAAAAGGGGTGACGCACACGAGCTCCAGGGAAAAGTTCCTACTGTGGAACAAAGTTGAAGCTCTGTGTGACACCGATACTGATGGTGGCGGTTGGATTGTCATACAGGTAAGGATCTTCATGACTGTACAGTTTTCATTACCGTGCGGAGCGTTACACCGTGTACACAGAAGAAAAGAAATACTAGGAGATCTAAACTTCGAGGGTGACAAACTAATGAACAGCAGCTTGTCTGAGAATGTGAAATATTTTGATCTAACAAAATGCAACACGAGATCGGGATTCGGGGGGGGGGGGGGGGGGGAATAACCTTGTACATTGTACTGTCTCATCATAAAGCTTGCCCTTTGGTGAACGTCGCTCTCGTCACGTCTGCCTGAACAAATCTATGTCTTTTGCCAGCTCTCCCGCCTCGTGCACTTTCAAAGCCAATGAGTTATTTATATTCTGTGCCCATCTTCGTGCCGTCTTGACCGGGAAGCCAACGTTGTTTGAGAAAAAAAGTAAATCACTTTAATTTACTGCCATACACAGGGCACCATACACAGGGGAGACAAGAGACAAACTTTTTGAATAAAAAAAAATTTAGTTAACTAATCTTTGTCATGACTTAAGGGCCTTATTAAACCTCTGTAAAATTGTACAAAATCCACATTTTTGCATACCACACTCTTTAGGTGATGCGGCAAGACTCTCGTCTACAGATCCAAAAGTGAAGGATTCAGTCCCTGACTGAGCTTAATATCATTCAAACAATGCTCAGGTGCATCCGGCTTTAAATAGGTACCAGGTAAAGTCATGGGAAGTAAAGGTGGCTGGTGTGATGTTGATGACCACATCGCCCACCGAGTGCCGACTAGTCAAAAACTGAAGTTCTAGCCCTATATGCCCAATGCACATGATGACGAGAAAAAAGATCCTTTACTTTTTAACTTTTACATTCTTTGGTAACGTTGTCAGCCTCATTCCGTTTATCTTCATTTCCCCCTATATTTCCTATTGACTATTTTTAGATGGGTCTACCTGCTCTTCAATTATATTCTATTTGTATGTCTTTGTCTTTCTCTGCCTAATGCTGTTGGGCGTCGCAGACACGACAAATAATCACTTTCTGTGATAGTGCGCGCTTGTATGCTTTCTGCACGGTGATATTGTTGAGTCTGAGCAAGTTGTTAGTAACTCCATCTATCCATGTGCGTCTTCCTCTGCCTCCTAATGTTTCTAACGTATGTTCTTTCCTCTTTTAACCGATATCTAATCTCAGATTAGTGTCCTGCATACCACACTCTTTAGGTGCTGCGGCAAGACTCTCGCCTGCAGATATGGTGTCCCACCATTCTGAAAAAAAAAATGTTCGATTCTTTTATAGTCTCTTTTTGTTATGTTCACTACTTTTCTCAAACATCTAATTTTACACGACGGTAGTTTCCATTCTTGTTATTTGGTTGGTGTAAAGATTTGACATTGGTAATATAATTTAAAAAAAAAAAAAAAATTGCTTTTATGACTTGTATTTTAGCTTTTTCTCGGTATTGCTGGGTGTTTCAGTATTGCTAAATGTTTCAGTATTGTTGGGTGTTTCAATATTGCTGAGCATTTCAATATTGCTAGTTGTTTCAGTACTGCTGGGTGTTTCAGTATTGCTAGGTGTTTCAGTATTGTTGGGTGTTTTAGAATTGTTTGGTGTCTCAGTATTGTTGGGTGCATCAGTACTACTGCGTGTTTCAGTATTGCTAGGTGTTTCAGTATTGCTGGGTGTTTCAGTATTGCTAGATGTTTCAGTATTGCTAGGTGTTTCAGTATTGCTGGGTGATTCAGTATTGCTAGGTGTTTCAGTATTGCTGGGTGTTTCAATATTGCTGGGTGTCTCAGTATTGTTGAGTGTATTAGTACTGCTGGGTGTTTCAGCATTGCCAAGTGTTTCCATACTGCTGGGTGTTTTAATATTGTTGGGTGTTTCAGTATTGTTTGGTGTTTCAGAACTTCTGGGTGTTTCAGTATTGCCAAGTGTTTCCATACTGCTAGGTGTTTCAGTATTGCTGGGTGTTTCAGTATTGTTGGATGTTTCAGTATTGTTGGGTGTTTCAGTATTGCTGGATGTTTCAGTATTGTTGGGTTTTTCAGTATTGCTGGGTGTTTCAGTATTGCTAGGTGTTTCAGTATTGTAAAGTTTTCAGTATTGTTAAGTGTTTCAGTATTGCTAAGTGTTTCAATATTGCTAAGTTTTTCAGTATTGTTAAGTGTTTCATAATTGCTAAGTGTTTCAATATTGCTAAGTGTTTCAGTATTGCTAAGTTTTTCAGTATTGCTGGGTGTTTTAGTATTGCTAGATGTTTCAGTATTGCTAGGTGTTTCAGTATTCCTAAGTGTTTCAGTATTGTTAAGTGTTTCAGTATTGTTAAGTGTTTCAGTATTGTTACGTTTTTTAGTATTGCTAGGTGTTTCAGTATTACTTATTGTTTCAGTACTGGGAAATTTGACAGGTAGCACTGTTAGCTAGCTGGATTCTGAACATGATCTCTGTGTCGATTCTGCCGTCTAATGTGAAGATGCTTCTAACACGTGAACCATGATGACTATTGCATTTTTGGTTTAGACTCAAGCAATGTAGACCAGTTGATGGCTCAGGTAACCTTGTTTCGACATATTTCTTCCAGAGGCGAGTACATGGAGATGTGAACTTCTATCAGGACTGGGACAATTACAAAAATGGATTTGGAAGTCTTGACACGGATTTTTGGATTGGGAATGAGATCATTCATAATCTCACCTCACAGGTATCGACTTTTGTTTGTATGCTTGTTAAAGAATGTGTTTGTTTTCAGTCAACTAAAATATACTTAGATTTGTATTTGTTGCCACTAAAACAATCTACTACTAGAATTATTATTTTTAGTATATAGTCATAAATTCTGTATGTGTGAGTGAGTGTGTGTGTGTGTGTGTCTTATTGTAAGCAAACAATAATTTTACAGTCAATTCTTCTAGCCCCCCCCCCCTCCCCCCTCCCCAATTTCTTGCTCTTGGACTCGTTGTTCGTATTCTTAGCTTACTATTTCTCACTGGATTGAACCGGAGCAAATCCCGAAAACCCGTTTAACAGCGTATAACAGTTTTTTAAAAAAAAGCAGAGAAATCGAATAAGTGTTACTGCAGTGCTTCTACTATCTTAACAAGGTTCCGGCCACATCTATGAGATAATTAGTTCTGGTGATCCATGAAACAATTCTGGCTGTTCTGGTGATCTATGAAACAAATCTGGCTGTTCTGGTGATCCGTGAAAGAGTTCTGGCTGTTCTGGTGATCCGCGAAACAGCTCTGGCTGTTCTGGTGATCCGTGAAACAATTCTGGCTGTTCTGGTGATCCGTGAAACAATTCTGGCTGTTCTGGTGATCTATGAAACAAATCTGGCTGTTCTGGTGATCCGCGAAACAGCTCTGGCTGTTCTGGTGATCCGTAAAACAATTCTGGCTGTTCTGGTGATCAGTGAAACAATTCTGACTGTTCCGGTGATCCGCGAAACAATTCTGGCTGTTCCTGTGATCAGTGAAAAGGTTGTGGCTGTTCTGGTGATCCGTGAAACAATTCTAGCTGTTCTGGTGATCCGTGAAACAGTTCTGGCTGTTCTAGTGATCCGTGAAACAATTCTAGCTGTTCTGGTGATCCGTGAAACAATTCTGGCTGTTCTGGTGATCCGTGAAACAATTTTGGCTGTTCTGGTGATCCGTGAAACAATTCTGGCTGTTCTAGTGATCCGTGAAACAACTCTAGCTGTTCTGGTGATCCGTGAAACAATTCTGGCTGTTCTGGTGATCCGTGAAACAATTTTGGCTGTTCTGGTGATCCGCGAAACAATTCTGGCTGTTCCTGTGATCAGTGAAAAGGTTCTGGCTGTTCTAGTGATCCGTGAAACAATTCTAGCTGTTCTGGTGATCCGTGAAACAGTTCTGGCTGTTCTAGTGATCCGTGAAACAATTCTAGCTGTTCTGGTGATCCGTGAAACAATTCTGGCTGTTCTGGTGACCGTGAAACAATTCGGGCTGTTTTAGTGACCTGCGAAACTATTGCCACTGTTTTGTTGAGCGAGAAACAATTCGGGCTGTTCTGGTGATCCGTGAAACAATTCGGGCTGTTCTGTTGATCCGTGAAATGATTCAGGCTGTCTGAGTGACCTGCGAAACTATTGTCGCTGATTTGTTGGGCGAGAAACAATTCGGGCTGTTCTGGTGATCCGTGAAACAATTCGGGCTGTTCTGGTGATCCGTGAAATGATTCAGGCTGTCTGAGTGACCTGCGAAACTATTGTCGCTGATTTGTTGGGCGAGAAACAATTCGGGCTGTTCTGGTGATCCGTGAAACAATTCGGGCTGTTCTGTTGATCCGTGAAATGATTCAGGCTGTCTGAGTGACCTGCGAAACTATTGTCGCTGATTTGTTGGGCGAGAAACAATTCCCGCTGGTGGTTTTGGCGGGCTGCTGATAGGAAGAAAATAGTTAAGAAACACTATATTAGAAACTTTGAATATGACACCATAATTCTCATATCTCTGTTTCCAGAGCTACAATGAACTTAGAGTTGACATGGAACTCAACGGAGTCAGGTATTTTGCTCATTATTCCATCTTCAACGTGGACAACGAAGTACTGAATTACAGAATGACTGTCAGCAGTTACAGTGGCAACGCTGGAGACAGTTTGGCCTACCACAATGAGATGATGTTCAGCACTCTAGACAGGGATAACGACAAGGATTCACGCAGCTGTGCTACCCACCATACATCAGCCTGGTGGTACAAATCCTGCTACAGATCCAACCTGAATGGTATCTGGGGCAAAAACGCAGAAGGAGGGGTCATTTGGCAGGGTATTAGCACTAGCCATAGCCTCACGTTCACAGAAATGAAACTTCGCCATGTGTAACGTGTTTAGGTTGCGTATCCTTTACAGGACGTTGCAGAATCAACCCCAACGGCCGCTTGCTGTTCTGTGGTTTATACAGGCAAATTCACGTCCAGTAGTTTGGTAACGTGTTTACTGTGTGGAATTTGAAATAAAAACTTCAGAAATGACTTATCTTGTGTTAATCTATAATGTTTGCTTTAACTAATTTATAAGTTATGTGATGCGTAACAACAGCACACGGCTCGGGACATTCCATCAAGAGTTGCGTCCTTGTATTCAGCAGCATGCGTAGATTTTAGATTGTGATGGTACCAGTAACAGTCTGATTGTTAACTTCTCTAAGGGGCTGCGTGGTCTCGAGGCATGGTCCTCGCCTCGAGTGCTTGAGGTTCCGGGTTCAATCCCAGGTAAGTGCTGGGATTTTTTCACGTGGACTTGGACTTCAGGTAATTCTCCCAGTCTCTGGGTAGCGAAATCGGCCGCCCGTGTGCATTGTTGCGCAAGTGAAAATCCCTTGCCAGTTGGAAATCGAAAAGAGTAGCCTCACGGCGCTGTCCGGGCAAAATCTGGAGTTAAAAATCTACCTAAAGTATTTCAGTATCCTCGCAAATGCTAAAGATCCTGTGCATTGTGCTGAGCTCCTTTGGGCTCAGACTTGAGTTAGAAGAAGAACGGAGCACTAATGAGTTACACTCTTGTGCCATGATGTTGATCCGTTGTTCAAAACCTCTAACTTGTTAATCCGTCTAGCTCTACAGTGAGTGCTCAGCCAAGGCCAGATCTTCTGGCCACTCCTCGCTACACCGCTCTCCTCATACCGTGGCGATCTATTTGCAATGGCTGCCAAAAGCCCTTTACGACATCTGGCTTTACATGCATGCCTTAGCTAAGGTTTTAGTAAAGTAATTCATTAGTTAGTTGTGTATCCTTTACAGGACGTTGCAGAACCAAACCGAGCTTTAAAAAAATTTTTTTAAACAGTTTGAGATTCTACTTATCAATTTCAATTTCAATAGATCACAATTTCCATTTAACAGTCGAGTCTCGATACCGTTGTCAAAATCAACGCAAAGCGATCTGCTGTCAAATCGCCTGAACCCGCACATCTGTTGCATTATTCTATTGTCTATTGCTAGTAAAGCGAATAACCCTTTCACGCCCTCAAGCGTGTTGGCCATATGGAGCTGGACAAATATTTTATAGACTAATCGACACTTGAAGGGTGCTGTGGTCAGCATAACACACTGGGAGGCAAGGTCAGGTTTAAAAAAAAATTATGGCTACCTCAGGATCCGAACCCACGACTTTCAGAACCGCTGACAAGCGTCAAGACACTACACCACAGCAGCAAACTCGGAGACATCAATCTCTACCGATGTTTCTATGGACCAGTCGGTAGATATGGTCAGCATTACACCGATCACCTTTAAGTCCTTAAACATTTCTTGTTAATTATTTTAGGCTGAGTCCAATTAAGGGAGAATATCCGTTTCACAAAATGTGCTACCATTAAGATGGGAACCCATGACTTTAGGGTCGACAGTCAAGCGTCTAACCCCATGTCACGGCATAGGTATGCTATCTGGTAATTAGGTATTCGCAGTTCAAACTTCTTTCTTAGAAAACGGGTCACCATACAGTTGCTCCACGCCTGCTCCATTGAAAACCACAGAAAAATTCCCATTATTTTTCCTCGGTGGGGAAAACCGAGGGCCACACGGGCTGCAGTCTCAGGAAAGCAAATAGTATACCGCCGCATTAAATGCATAAGGCATCTGTCAGTAATACCAACACAAACAGTGCTGAGCTAGAAATGCAGTTCATCTTCGATCAAAGCAACAGTTATAGTTTTGCTATCTTAACTTCTTTACCGCTGACACGTCTGGTGCCTGGTGGCTTGCCTGATGCCCTCTGGACACTGGTCCGAGAACAACCTCAAAGGAAGTAGTTGATAGGCTTAAAGTGGCAGATCTCAGATCCCGGCTAAGATTGTTTACAGAATAGACATATGTGGTTCTCAGAGCGCTGACAGAGGTTAATCCCAGAGACCCATGCATGTGGATGTAAGCAACAACGCTGGTGGTTGTCAGGGATCGTCTGAGGCGTATCTCTGTGTCTGAGAGGGGTCTTGGATGCCAAGCTAGATAGATCTAAAGGCAGAATCAAGTGAGTCTTGTGGCGGTCCATGTGCTTTTCAAAGGCATAGGAAAGATCTCAGAGACTGATTCAGAGCGGACCCAGGTGGTGCCTTGAATGGGGTGACAAGCATGTATGTATGTATGTATGTATGTA